CAATCATTGGGCAGTTGGCTCAGAGCCCGAGTTCTTATTGGAAAGGCAACCTTGAAAGCTGCCGCCAAGAGAGCTTTTCGACTGGCTAGAGATTGGCAACAAACACACACACACACCACACACACACACCACACACACAAGGAAAAGCTTGGCAGCAAATTGCAAAATATTACTTGCATTCGTTGGCATTATATCTGTACAATAATATATGGCACATCATTTATAATTTCCGCTCAAAATCAACGTCAAACTCAAATTCAAAATTCAATCATTGTGCATTTCCTGTTGCCGTCATCGCTGATCACCAGTTTATACAGGAAATCCAAAGCACTTGTTCAGCAATTTTCAATGCGTTTCGCTTCAGGCACCTCAAAATCCATTTAACACTCTCTTTATTCCAAGTACTATAATTGCTGCTCTACCAAACACTCCAGGCAGTTCGGTAGATATAAAATTTCTTAGCGTTCCCATTAAATGTTTTATTTCAAGTGTACAGCGTTAAATTTAAGCTAATTTAATTTTTATGGTTTAGTAAAATGTTTATACATATACCTCATCTTAAGAAAAGGCGTCTTTTATTAGCTTGAGTTGTAACTTTTCATTTACCCAAGTTTTTCCGCTGATTAGGATTAGAGCTATAAAAACAACGTTATGCTTCAAAACATATATTTAATTGGCAAGGAACACTGTCCAATTAGGGAAATCATACGATGTGGTATAAAATGTAAAATATTTTACAAGGCTTGGCTTATAAACTTTTCTTAAAGAAGTTCTTGGTTTTAAAGTGTCAGGATATAACAACTTATTATTAACTTATTACGTATAAACGTATATTTTATTTAAATATTTCCACTTTACTTTTAATTACAGAGAAAAACATTTGTTTCTTCGCTCAAAAATACAAGTTTGTTTCATTATTTAAAGTTAATATAGTTAAATAAAAATTTATTTATGGATATGTAACATCCTTTCATATTTTGGTTGGCCTTGACATATTTGTTAACCTATTTTTATAAGCGCTTTCCACTTCTCCTGCCTACATTTATCACCAATTAATTCCAGAAGAATCCATTAACATTCCTGTGGATATACTTTCTTGTACAGGCCCACTCCCCATAAAGCCCCTTAGCAATCCTTCCAAAATTCCTGAGCAACAGCAACTATTTAGTGTGATTTGCAATATGTATTTTAATTATGGGCCACATGTGTGCGGCGAAATGAACCAAAAGACAGAGGCTGCTTGGATAAAAATACTTGGAGTGGAGTCCACCTGGACGAGAGGCTGCGGTTGGTAGTGCTAGTTTCACTGTGGTTATGCACAGAAAAAAAAATCCATCAATTTTATAGTTACATTTTTCTGTACAGTATATTGTAAGAGTATAAATTTATTTTCAGTTTTTTTAGTTTCGTAATTTAATACCAAGACATTTTATTATATTCTTCTTGTTCTTAACCGTAGAAAAATAAAAAAAATCTCTGTGTGATGGCCAACCATCGGCATCAAAGTCTCGCTCTTGTCATAAAAAATGCGCGAAATGCAACAATTTAAAAATGCTAAATATGCGCGTATGTGCGGAATGATTACTGCCGGGGCTTGAGACTCTGAATCTGGTACTGGATCTGGGACTATGGCTCAGATCGGCATACAGCAAAGGCTGTGAATTTGGGGGCGGGGGAGGGGATTAAAAAGCCGCAGTTACTCACCGACTGACTGCGTTTAGTAATTATGCGCGCAACACGTTCATGGCGGCAGTCCATTGCAACATGTTGCCATTGTTGCTGCAGTTTCTACTGCAGTTGCTGCTGCTGCTGCAGTTTAAGTTACTGCTGCAGTTGCCACTACTGCTGCTACTGCTGCTGCTGCTTATGTGGCGACTGTTGCCGGGCATTGCGTAAGCTCTTTTGGAAAATTGCATTAGAAAATCCACTTGGCAACAATTAAAGCCGCAGCTCGCATGTTTCGCTCCAAGTCGCCTGGGAACCACAAAAGCCAAAAAGTCTCGCTGCCATTAGGGGCACCACCGTAAAAACCCACTTCAACGGTCTTACTGACGTTCTAAAAGAGGTTTATGACTGGTCTTCGAAATGTGAGACAAAGTGGGCAGAATTCCAGGAACTTAAAAGGGCCGGAAAATATCGATTTTCTGTTTCACAAAAACCAAGAAGAAAAATGTTTGAACTTTGATTTTATTTATTAAAATTTAAATAAAAACGGAAACTATATTTTTAAGAATTTTATTTTATTTATTCTTAAGATTTTATAAAATTGTTTAATTAGAAACTTACAACGGACATTAATTAAAAATCATTTTCTTTCTCATTTTCTTTGTATCGATTAAATTTCTAGCAATAAAAAATAAATGACTAATACCACCGCTGCTTTCTAAACAGTGCCTCATAAAAGTATGCATCGCATGGGAGTTGTGGCCCCTGATCCCTTCAACTTCGGGCCAACCTCTTGGCCGGCGGCTCACCTGGCCATAATGTACACAATTTATTGGCATTGCGAATCTGTGCGCTCGAGTCGATAGCAAAGAAAAAAATATAAAACAAAAAAAAGACCCACTTAGCCATGGTCAAAAAGCAAGGCGAGGTAGCTACTTGGCAACCCTTTGGGGCAGAAAAAACGCCGACACCGAGAGCGTGGAAAATCCTAGCTATTTTTCACCAATTAAAAACAGATTCTGGGCAATTTTCCATGCAATATGCAACTTGTAGTTAAGTGAATAATGCCAGGGAAAATATTTCCCCGCGTAGGACTCTATTTATGTGTCCCGAAAAAAACGCAAGCGCAAAGTTTATTTATCACATTTAAAATGCAATAAAACAGCATTTCGGTGGGGCAATGCATAAATTACGTTTATGCATTTTAGTTATGCATTTGCACAGGCCCTAAGTGTCAAAATAATTCATTATAATTGCCCACAGATCATTTTTGTCAACGATTTTTTTTCAGCTTTGTTTGCCTTGCGCGAACATTGCGTGCGTTTTCCTAGCGATTCTTTTTTTGTCTTATTTATTTGTATTTTTTCTTGGTTTCTTATGTTTTGTTTGGTTTCTTTTATTTTTTATTTTTTTGGCATGTCGTCGCGTTTTGGGCCAAAAGAGCAACAAGCGAGTGAATGAGTGAGTGAATAATTGCAGGCATGCCATGTTGTTTATACTAAATTTAATTAATGATGACTTTTATTTATGAATGCGTGGCCGGGCGTCGGGCTTTCGGTCACATAAATCGGCATTGGACCACTCCTACAAGGTGGCAATAAGGGACGGTTGGCAGAGGACTGCCCTCAAGTGCTGAAATCTTCGGTTGGCCAAGGGCTAGGATTAAATTTAATTGATTAGTGTCGTCCCCATCTTAATTGAGATCTCACCTTCATTTATCATAATTTCATAAGCAATAAATTCTAATTAGGAGTTGGAATATTAATAAGTGTTCGTCTTTATCTTTATAGCAAGATAATACGAATTTTACAGATAATTTTTTCAACATTAATGACAATTAAAAATAAATATTATGAGTTTCCAAATTGGAAAAATAACTGTGAACAAAAAATACAACAACCGTGACAAAAGTCTATTTTTTATAAGTTTACCCAACAAGTAATTTTACTTAATTTTCAAGTAACATGGCTATAATTGATTTTACGACGTTCAGCTATTTTAATTAGTTATGTGCGGCTCGGTATATCTGTATCTGTATCTGGCCCCTGGAGCGTTCCACTTAGCCCCCAGATACAAAAAAAAAAAAAAAACCAGAAAAAAATAGCGGCGGCAATTGGCTGTGCCCCCATATATGGACGACGAGACCGCAAAATATTATTGCGCTGAACAAATTTTTAGTTTATTTTGTTGTGGGCCATAAAAATGTTAACATCATTATAAGACTTTAACACCTGCAACAGCTGGCCGCGCATTTTTCGCATCTCGCATTTATCGCTAATCGAATTGAGTTTGCTGCCACTGCGGCAGCGACAAAATGCAGCTCTCCATGTCTCTAGGATCTATAAAATGTTGTCGCTTCCAGCTCGCTTTGCATTCGCGCGTTTTCTCACGCTCCTTATTGGAGTTGGAGCGCAGGGACGGGGGTCTTTGGAGATCGCTTGGGGGAGGAGGGGGGCTTTTCAGAGGCCGGTGGTTCGGGGGATCGACGGACCGAAGATCGAAGACCACTGAGCAATCCCATCCAGATGCCGGCTTTTTGCGTGCTCGACCGCAGGGCGAATGTTTTGACTATGCCACCGACGCGGATTGCCGCCTGTGGACCTTCTCTTTTGGCTTAACCCACTGAATACAGCTAATAGACCCTTAAAAAAATATTAGAAAAACCAAGCAGTTATACAAAATAGATTTTAAAGATTTTTATATTCAAAATTTAACTAAATAATTGTCAACTCTTTAACCCCAAAGTAAAATAAATCTTTTTTGATTTTCTTATGATCAATAACTATAGATATTTCTTTAGTTTTAACCAAACTTTACACTTTAAACTAACCTTTTATTTGTTTTTTTATAAAACTGTAGTACTGAACGTATAACAGTTAAGGCATTTAATTACCCTACTATCACTTTCAATGTTATTCGAAATACCAGTTTATGATTTTCGTCAAGATCTAATTAATGGGTTAACACCTTTTAAGGCAGTTGCAATCAATGCAAAGTGAGCGGTGGCCGTGCAACAATGTTGCCTGCCGCTGCCGCTGCCACACAGCTGACGTCGGTCGGTTTGCCCGATGGTCGATGCCGATCCCACTGGCTATATGATTTATGTCCCGGCACTCAGTAGGCGCCGCTTCTTTACCTAAACCAAAGAAAATGTTTGTTTTCCCAACTCTCAGATAAATCATTGCTTATGATTAAAGGGTCTTAACTTTCACATTGCGGATTAATTTGTTCGTTGCGATTACAAAATGAATAATCACGAAGCCAATCAGTTTTAAAATCAATGTTTAACCATTACAACTATGCTACCCACTCAAAAAAAATATAAATAAACGAAATTCAAATTTAAAATTCGTGTTTTATTCATTTCTTTTTGGTAACAAAGTCTGCAATTAATGGCTTGCATATAAAATATTCATCGTTCGCATTCAAAAGTCCATAACACGGTATCAACTACTTTGATATTGAGTATTCAAGTGAAAGAAAAAGTGTTATTCGGCTAATATATAAGAAGTAAAGAGAGAGACTGATACAGCCTCTTGGAACTGAACCGTTTCGTTCTGTGAATAAAGTGAATAGCTAATGATAATGCCTGAGCTTCGACTAGTTTGTGCTTCCATAGCACTTTTAGTTGTTGTTTCTTATGTTGTTGGCCACATGGGATGCAATGAATTGGTACTGCATCTGGAAAGTTTCATGCCACAATGATTGGGCATAGCTATTGTCGTGCCGCATGGGATTGACATCAGTCAGAGTATCCGAATCATCACCTTCCAAAGATTCGTTGGCGCTGCTTTCCTCCACAGATCCCTGGGTGCTTGATCCAGCCAAGCTGACGTTGCTAGCGGTATCCTCATCGTCCTCTTCCTCTGCAGAGCCAACATCTGCCTCGGAGGACTCCAAATTACCACCCTCACTATCATCGAAATCAGGCGAGTAAAGGCCATATTCCTCATCATCTGTGGAATCCGTTTCGTAAACTGAGGTATCAATACCGGATGAAGCACTCTCGTTGCTCTCTACAAAGCCGCTCGAAGAATTGTGTTCATCGCTCAACTCTTCCTCATCATCATCATCATCATCGTGTTCATTGAACTCCGAGTCCTCTGATTCGGATCCACTTTCTGCGACAACTTCAATATTCGCCTGAGGCAAAGGAGGAATATCCATGCGATGGGTAACATGAACACTCAGCTTGTTCTGTGGCTCCACAACGATAGACTCCTGACTTGGACTGTTCACAAGGGAGGGTAAGTCGTCCTTCAGGGATTCTGATACCAGCTTACTCAAATCCTCATGGTTGATGTAGTAAAGTTCAAGCATGGCGTCATAGAGATTATCTAGGAAAACGCCCACCTCTTCATTATCCATTTTATGTTTCTTGCTGTAGTTGTACAAGCGTTCCAAAATTTGCTCACGATTTTTCATTTTGTTGAGCAGATAATTTAGATTCAAGCGTGGCAAAAGTGAGACATTTTTATACATATCAAGTTTCTAAAATAGAAAATTATTTAGTTATCATATACGCATTCTGTAAACTAATTCAAAAACTTACCTTTAGTTTAAAGTTGCGCTTAACTTTCGGCTTTGAATTTGGTTCAGGTCGTTGGCAAAGCAAATGGTGGCGTTTTCCCTTAACTCTCTTCAGCAAACGCTTCTTCCTGTTGGACTCGAATCTCTCCCAGATTATCCCCTCATCACTACTTGTGTAGATGGTATCGTAGGACTTGTCACTGTGATAACCGCATCCCATGCTATCCGAACTGATGCTACTGGCATCGTCGACCGTGTTTGAAATAACCATGTTTTGAATGGTCATCGAACTGGTCTGAGTTGGAGCAGCCAGACAGTAGGTCTTGTTGTTAATCGAGTTAACTGGTGGAGCTGGCGGTGACACAGTGGTTGGCGATGGCTCATGGGTTAAGTCCAGTGGTGTTAAGGTCGGCGTCAATTCGGGAGAAATCATCTCTTCTGGGTTCAAGGTACTCTTTGCCTGAAGCTGGATTCCTGCTCCATTATCAGGTTGATTTTCTTTTTCATTTGATGATTTTATTCCGGTTTCTAAATAGACCTTTAGGTAATACTCATTGACTTTGATCACAGGCGTTAGCTGCTTCTCAGCTTTTTCTGTAGGAGATGTTTGTTTTTCGATCTGTAACAACGCATCTGCAAAAATCTTGGATGGAGAAATTTGTCTAGTTTTTTTCGAAATTTTAATTTCCTTATCCTTGGCTTTTAAGGCTTCTTCTGGTTTCGAGCAAGTGTTGCCTTGTTTTACATCTATAATATTGATATTTGCATTTTTCTGTGAAGTATGTGGTGCGTTTTCCATGTCCACTTTTTCTTTGGACTGAATAGTTTTTGAATTGTTGTTCTTAATATCTTTATCTGTTTCACCAACATTTGCTAAGGCCTCTTGTTTGTTTTTGGAACCACATTGGATGTTCTCCTGATTTTTTTTAAGTTTCTTTACTGTATCCTCCTGCTTCTGAGTTTTTTCTAAGGCCTCCGATTGTTCTTTAGAAGAAACAGTAGGTTTATCCTCTTTGCTTTGATCATGATTTGCATTTAACACAGGATTTGCGGGCTTTGCTGGCATTTCCTGTAGCGGATTACTCTCCTTGATGTAATATTCAAAATTGTATTTATCAAAGTCCCAGAAATTGAAGTCCTTGGGCATTGGTTCCTTCGGAAACTCTAGGACAGACCAAGCTGTAGCAGCTTTGTTGACCATTTGCTTAAATTTAAAGGCCTCTTTCTCTGAGGTAATAAAAGTTATGGCAATGCCTTTTGAACCAAATCTGCCGGCGCGACCAATGCGATGCAGATAGGTCACATAATCCTGTGGTGGATCGAGATTTATAACCAGATTGGCATGTGGCGAGTCCACACCGCGGGCCATCAAATCGGTGGCCACCAAAGTGCGCATGGTGAAGTTTCTATAGCCCTCGAAGACATCCAAACGCTCCGATTGTTCCATGGCTCCCGATATCAAATTGCATTGGACTCCACCAGCTGTCAAGTAGTTTCTGTAGGAGTCGGCTCGCATCTGCGAGCTGGCAAATAGAACGGCCTGCTCATAAGGCAACTGCTCGAAAATCTTGGTGAGAATCTCCAATTTAAGGCGCATCTCCTGCACACTGTTGATTTGTTTGGGCAACTCGTATACAAATTGACGGATGCCCAGTAAAACCGTGGCCCTTTCGCTATTCGATATGAGCATGGGTGTCTTCATGATCTTGGCCAGGCGGACATCCAAGTCCTGATCGTATGTGGCACTGCAGGCTATTATTTGAATTCTCTTGGGTACGGCCTTAAGAATTTTATGGACTGTTTCCTGCAGACCTTTGGTTTGATACAACTGATCGGCTTCGTCGAGCACCAGGAGACCCAGTTTCGAAACATCCAGGACACGGTTTTCATATAGATGCAACAGACGTCCGGGAGTTCCAATGATAACGCGACTCTGATTGATTCGCCTGCGATCTCTGGCCACATCGGTGCCGCCAATAAATGAAGCGCACTTGAAGTGCGGGAAGAACTCGCACAAATAGCGGAAGGTATCCTCCACCTGGATGGCCAATTCCCGAGTTGGAACCACAATAAGGGCGTGAGGTTTAGTCATTTGGGGACGATAACTCTGCATGGCCGCAATCAAATAAATCAGCGTCTTGCCAGTTCCACTTTTGGACTGGACCAATAGATCTGCGAACAGGTATTAGCCATAACTAGAATCCTTTCGGTACATTATATATCTATCAGCATATTTACCCATATTACTTAGGGCCATTGGAATGGCAGCCGCCTGAATCTTCGTTGGCGTCAAAAAATTATGGCGCTTCAGGCCGCGCAGCATGTAGGGGCATAATCTCAGTTCCCCGAAAGTTTTCACCTGCCCGGGTGCAACGTCACTGGTGCGCGGATCACCGGGAGACAAATTGTGCGCTATTTCGCGCTCCATCTTGTACGCTTTTTGTTTTTTTTGTTTGCAATTTCAAAACCTTCCAACTGCGTGAATTCTTCAGCCGGAAAGTGTGACCGCAGCAAGGCCGGCCAAATAATCTTAAGCTTGCAAAAAATATATACCATTCATATACCGCTTAAGCAGAATTTATTCATGGTTGCTTATTATATAGAAATTTTGTTGAATTTTTGTTGAATTTAAAACATGCACAAGGGTATCAACACTTTTTTGCTCATAAATTTAAAAAAAAAAACATAGTGACATGGTAGGAACACATTTTTACCAAGGTCACACACCAGATGCAAAGTCCGTGCTGGCGTTTTAGCAGAGACGCCAATCAACAATTTGAGATATTATAAAACTGTACGAGTTCTTCTCAAACTGTAATTATAATTTAAAATTTAAATAAGAAACTGGAAAAACAATAGCTAAAAAAGGGACCACTATTAATGCTAAAATGCTACCCATATTTTAATTTTTTTAGGTAAATTGGTCGTCATTAAATATGATATTACAGAGAATTTGTTTTTAGGGGTGTAGTTAGTTTCCAGGCCTATAATGTCATAGCACTTTTAATCGTCTCCAAAAATAAACCAAAAATTTACTTTCAGGTCAACCATTTTTTTTTTTTATTGTTTTCTAAATTCCAAAACCATGTTCAAGGTCAAGTTTCGCGACATCGGCTTCTTTGTGCTGCTGACATCTCTGCACATCTGCTCAGATCTTCAGCCTGTGCTCGAGGCCCATGCCAATATTAAGTCGCTTTACCCCACGGTGGACCGGAATTTAACGCTCCAACTGGGCTACAACTACAATCACTGGATGCTGGTCAAGGCGGTAATGTATTCGCTACTGGTGCTGATCGGACTCTGGTACAGTCGGCATTTGCAATTTACTGAAGCACAGGAGTTGGAGGAAAGAAAGGGCATCCTTAAGAATCCACCAACTGCCGAGGAGGTGAAGAAGAATTGGCTCAACAGGAACAATCCGAATTCTGAAACGGAATTGGGTCTCTTTCCGTGGAAAAACTTTATCCTATTTGCTCTGCCCTGGATATTGACTTTTGTGGCCAGCGGATTGATTAACTACCTCCGTTTCTATATGGTGATCCAACATTTCTGCATTTCCAACTGGAGGGCCATTCAGCTCTATGGACAACTTCAGCTGCTCTTTTTCCATCGCCTGTTGTCAGTGGCTTTGATTCCCTATTGGTCACAAGTATTTGGGGGAGGAGTATCCTTAGAAAAGGCATCCAACATTCCCGGAAATTTCATCAGCGTCGAAACCCATCTGTTAGACTTGGCATGATTATTATTTTTGATTAGTCTTTTATCTTATTGTATTATTGGAAACCAAAATTAGAGTCAAAAATATTTTAAAAGATAAAATTGGAGCATTGTTTTATTGTACCACTCTTCAAAATAAAGGCTCACTTATAAACATTTATTATAATATTTAATAATCACCTTGAATCTGTTTGTTGGTTAAAAAGACATACACATTGTACTATCCAATTTATGTTTTCCATATGCACACATTGAGCAACGTGATGACTGCTTTATTGTTGGTTTTAATTTGCCAACTGTATTTTATTGTTCACTCCTGTGTTGTTTCGCATGCGACAATAAACGACATTTTCTATCAACAAACGAAAAAACTTTTCCACGAACTTTCCTGCACCGCTTGGCAGTTTATTGTTGCAAAAACTTCTCCATCACGTGGGAAAAATGCAGCAGCAATCGGGGTTTTCTGCTAACTTTTATTGAGAGTGAATAAATGCGGAAGAAGTAAATATATACGCAGTTTATTTAAGAACCAAAGGAATTTTTTTGGGTGTTTTTCAAGGAGCTATAATGTTTGGAAAAAAATATTTAAGAACAAAGGCGTACTTAGGAATTAATTATCCAATGTTACAAATATTAATGCAGGTTTCTTCGAAATTCCATTAATTCGATTGAGATGTGTCTTTGCAAGTTGAGTTTAAATTCACTTTCTAGTAGGCCTTGGAAATAATTTATTTTTTGACTCAGAAATATTAACAGGAAAATCTTAGTTCTTTGGGAAGTGTTGAATTCGTAACACCTATTAGATCGGCTCACTTAATAATTTGATAAATGCCAAACAAATTATAGATTTTTTAACATTAATTCATAAAAGTGGAACTGTTTTTCGGTTGGTGAAATGTGACAGTTTTTGCGGAATATGCTTTTTTCTCTGTGAAAGCAAGTGACAGTTCCCGGAAGACCCGTCTATGGAAGACAGAAGGCACTCCTTGCTGCGATCAAAGCTCGTCTTCGTGTCGGAAAACTACCTTGGCTACGAACGTAATCATATGGGGGTTCCTGCGATAAAAGCCATCTTGCGATTCTCGACCTGCGAGAACTTTTCCTGGAAAAGAAAACCTCCCGACAAGCAACGATAGTGGGTACCATCTGTAGTAGAAGCTGCCGATGGTGTTCTCTATCCATATTTAGGTAAATATTTATTAAAATATTTTTTAAATTGATTAACGATTGACTTCAGGAAGGTTAGCTCCAAAGCCAAAACAAATCTGTTGCGAATCATTGGCTACTTGCATTATCCACATGCAGTATAAATAAATTCCTGATAAGCTGCTCCTCGAGCTTATAAGGTTTTTCAGGTATGTATTTAAATGCTACGGCTGCTATTCGATATTTATAATCCTGTGACCGCAGATATCTCGGAGGTCGGAATGCCGAAGGATCTCTTTCTACGCAATGACGCCCCATTGAAACCTGTACCTGAGTTAGCTTTCCGACCCCAAGACCAGTCTCGATCGCTGCTCGGTTTGCCTTCTGACCACCACGGACGAGTCTTCTTGAAACAGGGACCTGTTTTTGAAGAACGGCAAAGCATATGCAGCAAACACTGTCACGCTGTCTTCGAAACTTAACAAAAATAAAAAATTTAAATGTAATTTTTTTGAGAACGTCGTTATACTATTTTTTAAAGTATGCCTTTTTGGGATGTGAAATTAACCCTCAAGCTCTGGAAATGCAGTTTGCATAACCCCTGACATTCGTTGAATGTTTGGGAAAAGCTTTATACATATGTATAAAAATGAATGCAAACAAATCGGTCTTCTCCGGAATAAAACATTAAAAAACACCTTCAGGGATCCCATTTCAAACGTTTGGAGATATGCCACTTCATATAAATGTTGTAGCCTCAGAAACAGAATTTTTTGGTCTCCTCTTAAAGGTTTGTTTTTAAAAAATCGACCTAAATAAAAACCATTTTTTTTTCCAAACACATTCCAGAAATTTATTTTGCTGAGCAGAGGACGCTTCTAATGTTCTGAGTCGTACAGACGTTCATGAAGTTAAGCTTGAATTGGAGTGTAGGTGTGCTCCTTGGATATTTTTTCCCAATATGCTTTCCTTTGACCTCATCGTTGCATTTAGATTAATATTTACTTATAAGAAAATTTGAATAAATATTGTTCTTTTGGTAAAGCTCAATTTTTGTACCCCCTTTCATAAACGTGACAAAAACATAAATGTTTTTATTTTCCAAAAAATTCATTAAAATCGTTATTTTTTGTCAACATTTTTTTTTTTTTTTTGGGTTCCAGAAAATCAATTTAATACTTAGCCTTATTCAAAATATAACATTACGATGAATTTGATGTAAAAGATCTGTGGCTATCACAGATTCGTGTGAAAATATTAAATTGTCATAGCGCTTCATTTTCCTCTTCATTATCCATTAAATTATTACAAGGTTTTCAGAAAATCACGATATCACTGACAGGCCAGTCGATCGATCAAAGTTCACTATAAAACGAGAACTCTCCGAGCATATTTCAAAATTTCACCCACATAAACATTTAATGTTAATTGCTTTTGTCACGAACGGTAATCGCGTTTTGGGCCATCAAATTATCAAGCTGTTTCATTCATTTCACAGGATAAGCAGAAGCTGTGTCGGTCAGCCATCGGAAACACAGGACACTTTCAAACACACCCGTTTCTTGAGTTATCCATTGGCAATCTTAACTATTCGAAACTTTCGGTCCACAGTTTCGCCTTGCTGGTGAGTACTCAAATTCAAAATAAAACAATCGAAGGGAAGATATTTTAGATTTGGATCTGTGGCAGGCATCGTAAAGAATTATAAAGATTTTTGTTTAAGGGGTTTAGGCCACTGTAGAGTCAGAGAATGTATAGTTTTGGAATTACTAAAAAAGAAAATCAATATTACAATTTATTAAGGTATTTATTTATATTATTTTTTGAACTGACCAATTTCAATTTGGCGGCTGTGAAGCGTTTTTGCCCTGGCTTCTTTATATTTTCAGCCGGGCAAGCGCTCGTGTAATTTTTGAATTATTTGTTTTTTAATTTAATATAATAAGTTTTATAGAATTACATAATTTGAAAATTGCGCACTTCCAAAGGGAACAGTAAAAAATTTCGCTTAAAATTAAACGCAATAATTGTAAGTAATGAATGAGAAAAATAAAAAAATGCCTTTTTTAAAGATATACATATTTAAAATTTAAGGTAAATGGGTCGGAAATTTCCACATTTGACAATTTGGAATTAATAGATTATAGGTTGTAGTTTTTTTTCTTTTGTAGTTTTAAGAGAGAAGCAAAAATTAGCTCTCCTTTTAAGTTAAGATTTTAATACTTTCTGACTCTACAAACCCGAACATAAATTTAAAAAATATTTTTGCTAACCGATCTAGTAACCTGTCTCTTTGCAGTTAGCAACAAATTGTTCAGTTCAATTCAGTTTTTCGGTTTTTTTCAAGGAAGGCAGACCTTCCTTTTATTTTATTTTGTACTACTCATTTTACGTTCGCAACTGAAATATTTTTGAACTTTTTTGGACGCGTGAAATACCTCTGAAGTGACAACGCAAAATCAAAACGACACCAACAAAAACCAGTTGTCTAAATTGTGTAGATAATATCGCGAGTGTAATAGATAAATTGCATATCCTTTGAAAAAAATCAAACAACATGCGTGGACAACTGCTGCTGAAGGGACCCGCCTTGGCGAGGAGTTTGAGCCGGGTGCGCCTGAATGTCCAGTCGCAGGTGGTGGGTCAAGTGCGTCATGTGACCGCCGGCTGTTCGGCCGGTGAAGCCGTCAAGGGTGGCAAAGGACTCGTCCTGGGACTCTACGAAAAGGAATCGGGCAAGGGACCTCGACTGACGCCCGCTGGCGAGAAATTCGACGATCGTTTGACCGGCAAGCTATCCGAATTGGTTTGCGAAACCAAACTCACTGGTCGCTTGGGTCGCGGCAAGGTCTTCAACAATGTGGATCCCGAATTCCGATCCATTTGCGTGGTGGGCGTTGGCCTGGAAGGCATTGCCTTCAACGAGCTGGAAATGCTGGACGAGGGAATGGAGAATGTGCGCATTGCTGCTGGCATTGGCGCCCGATCGCTGCAGAGTATCGGTTGCTCCGAGGTCCATGTGGACAATATGGATTATGCCGAGCAGGCGGCGGAGGGTGCCGCTCTGGCCATTTGGCGTTACGAGGAGAACCTGGCCAAGAAGTTCCGCAGCACCATACCCAAGTTGGAGCTCCATGGCTCACCCGATGTGGAGTCATGGACGCGGGGCCTCTTCAAAGCGGAGGCCCAGAATTTGGCCCGCAGGATTTGTGATGCGCCCGCCAATTGTATGACTCCAACAATTGTGGCACAGACTGCCGTGGATGCTCTGTGCCCGTGTGGCATCACCGTTGAGGTTCGCACCATGGAGTGGATCGAGCAGCAGCACCTGAACTCCTTCCTGATGATTGCCAAGGGCAGTTGCGAGCCGCCAGTGCTGCTGGAGGTGGCATACTGCGGCACCGCTCCGGAGGATAAGCCCATACTGCTGGTGGGCCAGGGCATCACCTTCAATTCGGGCGGCATCAACCTGCGTCCTTGCAAGGGAATGGACGAGTTCCGTGGCGATCTCACTGGTGCCGCCAGCATTTTGGCCGCCATGCGAGCCGCTGCCGCTCTATCGCTGCCCATTAATATTACAGCCGTGTTGCCACTCTGCGAGAATCTTCCCTCGGGAATGTCCTGCAAACCGGGAGATGTGGTCACCCTACTAAATTCCAAATCCTTGGCGGTGCGAAACATCAGCAGAACGGGCGTGGTGGTCATCTCGGATCCGATGTTGTATGGTCAGATTACGTATAAACCCCGACTGGTTGTGGACGTGGGCTCCATGTGCAAGGGAGTGAAGAAGGCGGTGGGCGGCGGAGCCACGGGAATCTGGTCCAACTCTCACTACATCTGGAAGCAATTCCAGAGAGCTGGATCCTTGACCGGGGATCGCCTGTGGCGATTCCCCCCTGTGGCGCTACTACAAGGACCGTGTGGCCGAACACCTGAGCTTCGATCTGCTGAACGATGGCGAGGGCTATGCCTCGTCCTGTTTGGCAGCCGCTGTGCTCCACGAACTCGTGCCCTGCAGCGATTGGGCTCACTTGGACACCTATGGCACTGGACTGCTGAGCACCTACGGATTGATACCCTATCTGACGGCTGGAAGGATGACTGGCCGACCGACAAGGACGCTGGTGCAGTTCCTCTACCAAATCGCCTGCCCCGAACAGCCCAAATAAGTGTTGTTCGATCTGGAGTCCGATTTCGGTTAACTACGATTACGTTTTGGTTGTTCCAACTCAAGCCCCCGATTATTAGATGCGTGACTTCAACCATATGTGTGATGAGATATGGTTATCAATGCCATATCGCCCAACGTTTTAAGCCTCTTGACTGATCGTCCCGACACTGTGGACCAGACTCCGTTCAATGTTTGTGTTTAATGTTTATGACTCGGCCACATCTCGGGGCTGAGTTGGCTGGCAGAGAGTCTCTCGAGTCCAAGAATATCGAAATTCACACAGATAAATCATTGTACTACTCTACCTTCAAATTTTTTCGGCAGTCAACATGATGTAATAAATTTTAGGGTTATTTAATGAATTTTAAGGGTTTTATTTCTTTGTTTTAAAGGTAAGTTTTGAATCATATTCTACTCAAAAATTATAAATAAGTCATAAAGGTTACAACCCAGCGAAGGAGACGCCACAGTATATACATATTTTTGATATGATAAAGCTCCCGAAATAATTCCCATATGAAAGATTAAAAAAATAAACCGAAAGCCCATAACTTTTCTTAATGATGTCCGATTTTGGATATGTATACCTCATAATGCATGGAAATAAATGTCATAGCTTTCTTTCTTATTTTCAATAAAAATACATGCTTGAGAATACATTTTAAAGTGAATTCATGGACACCCGTATTTTCAATTTATCGTTTACCTAGTATCTCTTTAAACTCAATTCATTTAATTCCCCTTTAATAAAGCCACCTCGCTTTAACTGCTATTCAGTCAGACTTTTGGCCACCACAACAGCCAATTTTGTGCGTTTTTGGGTTTTTCAGTAAACTGCAGCCAAGGTCCTCTGACTGGGCAACGTGAACGTCAAGGCAATCACAAAAGAACTGACGCACAAACAACCAAAATTTCACCCACTCTGCCAACTAATTCGACTTTTGGCATATCAATGGGGCGACCCACAGAAGGAGAATGATGATGGGGAAGTCTGCAGAACGAGTGACAGGATATCCAAGAGTTTATGGCAAAGTTTTAGCACGTTATTGATGTCCGGCTCAGCTTGGCTAAATTTCAAACTTTGCCGGCGCACAAGACGTGCCTTTTGGCTCTGAACAATTGAAAGGCTCCCTCCATTGCACTCTATTTGTCGACTAATTCAATTGGCCGATGTAAAAACGTTTTAGATTAATACTCCACCCTGATGAGATGGCACAAAGTTCACAAAAACTAGTCACACATGCATTTTAAAACAATTTCTCAGTGAGTTAACTGCAGTTGACACCGACCGAATCATTTATCATTAGCCAATTCAATTGCGGTTTCGCTTTCGAGTTTTTTCGATGAAGTGCTAATTGAGTTCGTATTAAAAGTGTGTGCGAGTGTGCAAGGCTGCTAATCTGTCAATGTCAATATTATGTATGCCCCATGTTTGGCCTTAAAAAATATTGTGCCAACATTTTTCACCGACCAGCGGAAATTTGCGGACATGCGCTGAAAAAATCGAAGTAGTTTTTCAGTAAATAAAAAGTTTGGTTTTTAATTACAAAGGATAGACAAATTTAATAACAGTTGACGCTCTCTATACTTTTCAGATTGTATACAAAAAATTGGTAAATAATATGAATAAAGTTTATAATTTTATTCAAAAATGTATATTTATATAAAAAAGCAAACATTAAAAATATTTTATGCGCAATAATTTCCTTATATTAAATCACTTAACATATTTTTAAAGGATAATTGTGGAGCATTTTAATTAATTTTGGAGCTTCTACTGCAGCAGTGTAACTTATTTCCCCGACCTGTCAACTTTGGTAATGATAAAGTGTTTCATTATAAGCCTGGCAACCGTCTTGTATGGAAATCGTGCAAAACTGCTGACAGCAAAGTGCCCCAAAAAAAGGGGGGCAGCAGCAAAAATGAGGAAAAGTTAGAGGAGGGGCCAACAACCTGTTCAGTGTGAGCGGTGTAAAAAGTTTTATGGCTTAATTCTGCACCGCTCTTCGTCTTTTTTTGGCAGTGTTGTCAGCAAGTTGGTGGCCTGCCAAGTAAGCTTCCACTTTTCCGGGCTTGAAACTACTAAAGTGTCACGTGGTTAAAATAGTTTGTTGGTTGGATTCATTTTGGGCCTGATATAATTAAAAGGGAATGTCGGGTTTTCACTTTGATATGATCTGTTGAAGGCTACTCAGAACTTGTAACTTATGTTTTAATTAGTAGGGTTTCATTTGATGTAAACATATTCTAAAAATATATGTACAAAACATACTTTTCAGGGTTGGACTGAAATTGTTTCTAAAATTTATTTTCTTTATGGCTGAAAGTTTTTCCACGATATAAGATAGAATTAAGGATAAAGGTCAGGCTGTCGTTCAGTTAGCCTTCCTGCCATTTGACCGTCACTGTGATATGATCTTCCTGTATCCATCTCTTGGCCATCTTAATTTCCCCCTTCCGACGGCTTTTGTGCATTGTTATTTATGATGGCCATTGGCAGGAAACGGATATGCGTGCTCGAACGTCAACGTGTCACAGTCAGCAGAGGATGTCCAAGTGGCCCCGATGCACTGGCATGCAATGTCATTTGGCCGAACGAGTTGGCCGGCAGACAAATCGATCCGACCATGTCTGCAGCCCACCCGCTACTCCCACTCACACTCCCACCCAATCAATCGAAGAGCCACCCACAAGTTGATGGATGCAGTTCGCCCGTTGTGATAGGCGACTGTCAGAAAGGTCAGCTGGCGAGCTGCGATGCTGTCGATAAGGTCCTCCAAAGTTGAAGGCCATGAAACGGGAGAAGGAGCGGAATGTCAGACGTGTTGCATAAATGGAAAGTCAAATAGCCTTAAGCTATTATGTTTAAATGATTGCAGCCCCGGAATGTCGCTTTAAAAATTAAATTTTAAATGCTGACTTTAAAATGATATATATTTTTTAATAAGGTACGTAAAGTTGGTAATTTGTACACAATTATAAATGAGCTTAAACCGAAATGTTAAGTACAGCTAAATATTTATTAAATTTCTTCTATCAATTGATTAAATATAAAATGAAATGCATAATGCACATACTGTTACAAACACTGCGCTTTTTTCCTTTGCTAGTTAATTGGTGGAATTTAAATAGTTTCCAAAATAAATTGGCTTTTTTTGAATATTAAACCCATAAGAGATATGTTTCAGGATTCATTTAACAGTTTCTTAGAGTTTATAGCTTCCAATAACCATAGCCCCAAGGAGCAATTTAGCTACATTTGAATGCAAACACGAATTCCCCGCAAAAATTTCGGCTTCCGTTAAGGGCAATTTCGTGGCTGGTGTTGCGGCACAGTTAGTGCCAAAAATAAACAGCCATAACAAGTGCATTTAAAGAGCAGTTTAAGCACACCGGTAGAACTGCGTGGTTCTGTGTGGTTGCTCCTCTAGTTGTTTGCTTACCGATGTTGCACTATGCGTAATGCCCATAAATGTTGCGGTCAGTGTAGCTTTCCCCCTTTTGACCCCTGACCCCTTACACCTACGGAACCACAAAATGGCCGAGCGATGGAAGGAAGTCGCTTTTAATTAATGCCGAATAGCATATTCAGGGTACATAATTTCGTGTTTGCCCTTCGGAAAAGGTTCCAACCCGTAAACCCACAAGGTGCGTTACCAAATTTAATATCTCCCCCACTTTCTATTCAATTTTTGGGTGCCATTTAAGCAGCTTTTTATTATAGCTGGTTATTATATTAAATGCATGCTGCTTAAACCAGACCTTGAAAATGTTGATTTTACTAACAACAAATTTCCAGCAAATACGCTTTTAATTGAATTGCACTTGATCCAGATGTTTGTATTTAATTACTTTCATTAAAACCTGACTGCAACGTTTTTTTGCAGCCCACAAAAATGAGTGAAAAGAAATTGCAGGCTTTTTAATTAAAATAATTTGAGTAATGGCTTTTGGAGATATTTATCCGGTTGATGAAAAGAATTATACAAAAAAAAACTGATTGCTGATGCCAAGTTATTTTTGTGCAGCACAAAGGAAGTGATTTAACCTTCTCGAATAACAAGGTTTACCATGATTTCGTTACGTATCACAATACGTCAATCTCAAACATATTGTAAATCATAGCATACTTTTTAGCGGCGACCTACACTCGAAAAAAATAGACAGAACACGTTTAGCTGTCACTGAAAATCCACTTAAAATGACTGCCAACTGTCAAAGTGTCACCTGTTCGAGCCTTGCGGGCAAAAAGGCGTCACCAGCGATCCGAGAAAACCGTGAAAATAGAGCAACAATCGTGAAAATGGCTGCGCCAGAACGCAATTGTCACTTGATTTTTTTCTTTGCCCTTTTTGTGTCTTTTTTTTTTGGCCACTCCTTGATTTTCTTTTTGTTGGTGCCGCCTTTGTGAGGAATTTTCGCGCACAATTGAAAATTTATAAAAAGCGGATGTTGTGTTTTCCGGCGGAAGAAACTTGGCTGCATTCATAGCAAAGAAACTCAAAAAGAGGAAAAGAGAGAAAAAATGATTCGCGTTCACCGGAAACGAGGCAAACTTGATTCAATTCACAGACGTAAATGAAAAACAGAACGACGGCGACGGTGGCCAAAAGTCAAGGCAACAACACTGAATCCCTCGTAATCAAAGGGCAATGAAAAACCAGCTTAAATGCATTTGGGCCAAGGGTAAGAGGGCATGAAAAGAAAGGGGGAATAAAGAGTACTTAAAAAAGCAAAAGGGAGAAAAGGAAAATCCCCCCCCCCCAAACTTTTCATTTATAAAAGTGACATAGAATTTAAGGACTTAAGCTAATTATATTTTTGTGTGTCTTTCAGCAGAATTTGAATGTAAAGATAAGCCTGGTTTTCTTCTAATTATTTAGCCTTTTCCTAAATAAATAGTTAGCAAATAAAGTGTACGCAATATTAATTGGGAAAACATGTACGTATTATAATAAACCATAACATATGAAATTGTATATGAATATGTAAAATAGTTAATGTAAAAATAATTGTGACACGCACAAAGTCATTCAAATATTCTGCCACTATTTGTTGGCTTTTCACATAAATGCAAGCAGGCCTAAATTCAACGCATAAATACTTCACCATGATTTCCCG